CTCTCGAATTCAATTATATCGGATAGAGGTAGCCTTTTTACAAACTAATTTTAAAAAATTTATTACGAATTCTTAAATATTCGTAGACGCCTTAATATAACTTAGCACCCCTAAATAGACGGATAAATAGAGAAGTAAAATTAAAATTTGGAATTATATTTCCGAATTTTCTATGATATAGAATAGGTCGATTAGGCCGAAAAAATTATACTAGTATAGTAAATATATAATAATTATTTTTATACTATTATTAGAAAGTCCCCTTCGGAATTACTCTTCGGGTATTATTTTCGGGGACTAATGGACCTAGAGCGAAGGTAGAGGATAATCCTTCCGATAATAATTATTAATTAAATTAATAAATTATTTTATAGGTAGTTAAAAGTTGTAGCGGCTTTAAAAGTTATTAATTAGGGGTATACGAAATAGTATAATAAAGTTTAGAAATTAAAGGAGTTCGACGTTGGAAATTAGATTTTATTTAATATAAAGTATATTAAATAACGCCGCTTAAATATTAAATTAGTAAATAAATTTTTAGGACTATTTTAAATTACTAAAATTAATAGGGAGAAGAAGATAGTATACTAATTTATATTCCCTACATATTACCGAATCTATTTAGTATTCCTTATTATTCTATTAGAGTTATATTAAAAGGATCCTACTACGGTAGCGCTACGAAGGGAAATTATAAATATTAAGGAAAATAATATTTAATATAAAGTTGAAGCGATTATAAAATATTATAAATCCGGTCGCTAATGTTAATTTTAGGTTAAATAAAAGGGGTATCCGGACGATGAGAATTTGTAGGTTTTATAAGAGGATATAAATTACCTAAACCTTTTTAAAGAATATAAAACTAAGGAGATATAGTAGTAGCGTATTAGCGGCGGGCCGACTATTAAATTAATAAGGGTTAATTAAATAGTAAGAGGAGAATAATAATTATTTAAAAATCTAGAGTAGAAACGTAAAATATAAATATAAACCGTAAAATAGAAATATAAAACGCAAATATAAAATATAAAATGTAAATATAAAATATAAATGTAAAATATAAGATATAAACGTAAAATATAAATATAAAACGTAAAATGTAAATATAAGATATAAATATAAGATATAAAATATAAATATAAGATATAAATATAAAATATAGGTATAAAATATAAAATGTAAACGTAAAATGTAAATATAAAATATAAAATGTAGATATAAAATGTAAATGTAAAATATAAGACGTAAACGCAAAATATAAATATAAAATATAAATATAAGGTATAAAGTAGGGATATAAAAATAGAAATATAAGGCGGAGACGTAAAATAGAAACGTTAGAAAAAATGAAAAATAGGAAGGGAAGGTAGTTTAATTTAATATAAGATATTAATAAAGCGTTAAATAGAATATAGTCCGTATTTTCTATTATTGCCCTAAACGAAAAAATCTTTAATAATATCTATTATTATTAATATAAGATTAAAACTTATAATTTTAAGAGGAATATTTCCGTATACTACCGTACCTATTAATAATATTTGTAAATACTATTTTATATTATTTATTTATAGTCCTCCTTTACGAATTCTAATAATTCGTCTAATTTCCTATTTATAGACGTTAATTTCTTATTAACCATTTAATACTAGGGACCCTAGCCGCAATTAGGGGAGGGGGTAATACGAATAGGAGAATTTAATATAGAGATATTTATAGGAGAGCCGCTATTACTAGTAATAAGATTGCTAATAAGGGTTATTAAATTAATATTAATATTAATATCGCTAATACTATAATAATTAAATTTTAAATAGCCTTTATAATTGAAATTCTTAGTTCGGAGTATACTAAGTAATATTATAGAGAGACTATTATTAATAAAACGCGCTTATATTATAATTTAAAATACCGCTGTAGATTAATATAATTATTATAGGAGGGGGGTAGGTAGGGGACTACTAGTATTAATAAAACGTACAATTTTAGCCGCTATATCCTATATATTGTTCTGGAGGTTATAAATACTATAGGGGACTTCGAGTATGTAGCGGTGCAGCGATAGCGAATATTGCGATCTCTTATTAAATTCTAGAAGGGGAAGACGTTAATAAAAAAAAAAAAAAAAAAAAAAAAAAAAAAAAAAAATAAGGGAGATAATAAAGGGAAGATAGCGTACCTTTAGTCTAGTAAATATACATACCAATTAAATAAAATACTTTGTATAAATTTAGGGCTAGGGCGCTAATAAATGTTTAAATTAAAGTAACGTTATATTTTAAATAAATAAGGGGGCGGATATTACTAAAGGATAAAAAAGGAGTAATTAATTAGAGGTTAATTATAGGCGTAAGGCGAGAAGAAGGAAAGGACGGAATGAAAAGGAAGAAAATAGGGAAGAAAAGCGAATATATTAATTGGATTTATAAAGGAAATAGGAATTAATATATAAATATATAATAAAAATACGTATATTTATAATAAAGGACGGTTTAAGAAAGGGGGTAGATAAAATGGCCGTAGAATTAAAGAAAGGGGTAGCGGATATAATTATAAAAGTAAAAATAGGAAGAAGAAGAGAGGAAAAGCGAAGAGAGTAAGCGGAAGGGACGTTATATAAATAAAGGAAGAGGTTTTTATATAAGTATAAATTGAAGTAAGCGAATATAATTTATAGCGGGCGAGTATAAAATAATGTAGGGTAAATAAAGTGTTAAATAATTATATAAATAATAAAAGGGGGTAAATAGAAGGATAAAATGAGAGTAATAATTAAAAGGAGAAGGATAGAACGAATAAATAATAGCGGTAGCTGTAAGAAGGTAAGAGGGAAAAGTAGAAAATAGGAAGGTATATACTTCGGATTATAATAGGGAGAGTAGAGGAAGTAATTAAAAATTATATTATTAAAAAGGAGGGAGTAATATAAAAAATAAGACGAAAGTAATAGGAAAATAATTAGGAAGGAATAATATAAGTAAGGAAGGTTTATAGAAGAAATAGTATATAGAATTATAGGAGGCGGAGGATAGAAATGAAGGTCCTAAGGACGGAATTTATAAGGAGGGGGATTGTATTTAAATATTATAATAGGTCGTAGTAGGCGCGAATAATAGAGAATAGCCTACGAGAAGAATTTTAAATTTTAATTATATAAGTATTTTGAAATAAGTATAGATAATAGAGGGTACCCTACGAGAATATTAAATTATACTGTAAATATAAATAATAGAGAGTATCCGGGGGGAGGAACTATAGAACGTAATTATATTAATATTCTAAAATATTTATTAATATTTTTAAATTTAAAGTAATATTCTTTATTAAGCAAAACGAAACTTACTACTTCGTACGCCTATAGGATAACAGTCTTAATAACGGTCGGGAACCCTATTAGTACTTTAAATTTAATGCCGGTTTTGTATCCGTATTAGAATTTATAAGAATAGATATTATAATACTAATATTCTAGCGGGCGGTACGCTAGCGCTTTAAATTTAATACCGGTTTTATATTTATATTAGAATTTATAAAAATAAATATTATAATACTAATATTTTAATAGGTAGTACGTTAGTACTTTAAATTTAATACTAGTTTTATATCCGTATTAGAATTTATAAAAATAAATATTATAATACTGATATTCTAGTAGGCGGTACACTAGTACTTTAAATTTAATACCGGTTTTATATCCGTATTGGAATTTATAAGAATAAATATTATAATACTAATATTCTAGCGGGCGGAACGCTAGTTCTTTAGACCTAATACTAACTTCGGGGCCGTATTGGAATTTATAAAAATAAATATTATAATACCGATACTCTAGTAGGCGGTTCGCCGGAGGCGGAACGGCTATAATCCGGAATATAATATCGGCGGCTATAGCGAATAATGCTTAATAATACTATAATACCCGGTATTTATTATAGAAATTTTAAGGACGGAATTTATAAGGGGGGGGGTTGTATTAGAAGGCTAAGAATTCGTATATAGAGGTACCTTAGCGGCTGCTACTCCCCTTCGTTAATGGAAGTGTAGGATTATTTATAATAATATTTATATTGGATCGGACCCGTAGGAAGGATAATCCGGCACTATACTAAGGCGTTAGATTAGTATAAGGCTCTATAATACTCGTTAATAAAGGAATAGAGTTTGTATAAATATAAAAGAAATTCAATAGAGTGTATTTTATTATAGTTGGTAACTATTAATATATCTTTAAATTAACCCCTAACTTACTATCCCCTACGTACAGCTACGACCGTAGTTACCTCAACCTACCTTTCGCCTACGTTCCTAATATTTTATTAGTAATTTTACAAGTTATAAGCCCTCTCTAACCTTCCCTATAATTGTATTTTAATAAGCGATAAGCGCATTCTTAAAGCGTATCGTCGGCTTTAATCGCTAATTTTAATAAGGTACTATAGTACCGGGTTTAAAGAAGTAACCGCGACCTTTATCAACTTAACAACTCGCCCGCTCGCTTACAAGTTACGTAGTCTCGCTATATAAAAATTCTTGTTAATATTTATTATTTAGCGACCCCTCTATTAAATTAGTTATTAATTTATTTATTGAATTAGTTATTGGTTTTGTTAAATTTATTATCGAATTAAGTAATTCTATTATTAAATTAATTGGTAGTTAATTTAATGATTCTTACCCTTCTTCTCTTTTAAACACACAATCTCAATTTAATAATTACTAATATATTGAACCTTCTTATACTAACTACGACTACTAATTCGTTACTAATTCCCCTTCTCAATAATTAGAATATCGCCGACTAATATTAGGGACTTATAGCCGAATTTAATTACTTTCAATTCGCTAAGTACGTTTTTAAGACAATTTTAAAACCTAATAAGGTAACGGATCCTGAGAAGTATAATACTTAATAGACTAAACGTACTAATGCTAATAAGATTCTCCTCTCTATTCTTAAAACCCCTACTATTATTACGATTTTAACTATTAATAAATAGGATAGAATTAATAGAGACCCTAAGGTTATATATAATCTCATTCAATCTTATATTGCTTATATTACTAACGAAGCTTATAATAAAGTCCTTACCGAATATTTGGCTATTAAACATACTAACTTTAATACTATAACTTCTTTCCTTACCCATTATACCTTACTTTACAAACGTATTAAAGACGCTAAATTTAAAATTAATAATAATTTTAAGGTTATTTTTCTTTATAATATTATAAAGACTATTTACCCTATCGATATTAGATATTAGGTAGCCGCGTTAGAGGCTAACGAACTGGATATTAGTACTTTCTTAATTAAATTTAGTAATATTAGTAATATCGAATTCCGTACTAATATTAACATTAATATCTAGAGGTCAGCTAATAATAATAATAATAATAACAAGAACAATAATAATAATAATAATAGCTCAATAAATAAGAAGAAAGATAATAGTAAGAGAATCGACTATACTAATTGCAATAAGAAGATCTACACTACTTAGAAGTATATCTCTTATAGTTATTATATTAGTAAGAAGGCGGATATCTACTAGGTCTACTACCCTAAAAAGGCGTCCAATATTTGGAAGCCTAAGAAGGATATATTGGCTAAGAAAATAGCCGCCTCTAATACTAGTACTAATACTCTTACTAATAACGCTTCTACTAATTTTACTACTCCTGCTACTACTACTAACTCTACTTTATTATATAGAGGTAGAATATTTATAGGTATGTTGGGTATAGGTAATAATATGAATTTTTACTAGAGCCCCTAACTAACGCTATTAAACATATTAACTATAATTAAAGTAATTAATTAATCAATTATTCTTATTAACTTTAATTTTAATATACTTATAGTAATTTAATTAAAGTCTAATAGGCTCTAAGGTAATATTAATTTTAATAATTAAATAATATTCGAAATTTAATTATTTACAATTCTAATTATATAAATAATATTTTTAACCACCTTAAATAGTTTATAGATATATAGCTATTACCACATCCAGCCGTTTATATAGTCGGTAATAGAACTTCGATTTATACTTACTATATTAGTACCGTTGAACTGACTATAGCCACTTTAAATAATATTACTATTAAAGTTAGAATTAAAGACTATATTTACAATCCCTCTACCCTAATAAATCTATTAACTATTAAAGGTCTTCTTAATAATAGTATAGTCTAGGGTATAAAGTCCAACCAAATATTAGCGTACGGTAAAGTTATAATATAGTATAAATAAATTAATAGCCTTCTAATCCTCCTAATATTTACCTAGCCAAACTTCCCCCAAAACGTTCGTTACGCTATAATAGTATTAATTAATTACTTAATAATATACCGTCGCCTTATATACGTAGGTAAAGACTAGGTTCTCAAAATTTATAAAATAGCTAGTATTAAATTAAATAATACCTAAGACTATTTCTATAAAATATATATTAAAGTTAAGGCTTACAATATAATCCCCAAAATCGCCAATAAAGTCACAATTCAACTATTAACATATATCTATATCAATATCGTTTCCTATACTCTACCTAGTTATAAGGGATATAAATATATAATTTATTTTATTAATTAAATTATTAGCTTCTACTAAGTAAGGTTTATAGTTAATAAAAGTAACGCCTTTATTTAAATTAAAGAATTTAAAAAATAGGCTAAACTTTAAAATAATAGGCTTAAAATTAGGGCATTTAATTTTAATAGCGGCCCAAAGTTTAGCTTTAACACTAAAGAATTTCAATATAGTAAAATTATTAATTAGGCACGTATAGAAGGCGTAGAATTATTGAAATTAATACTTTATACTCTATAAATGTAAGGTAAAATCGAGAGAGCTAGTGCTATTATTATATAATGCGCTAGAACTTTAATAATAAACTTTAATATCCTAAAATATTTATAACCTTTTATAACTAACTATATTATTAGAATTCTCAACTTTCTACCTTCAAAAACTTATAATAGTAAAAGCCTATAGGAGTTATTCGCTAATATAGCCAACTTCCCAAACGAAATTAAAAAACTATATTTTAAGCACTTAAAGTCTTATTTCTATACGGCTTACTACTTTATTAAACTAGAAAAACGACTATAAAGTAATAAATTTCATACCAAAGCTTAGAAGGGTCATTTTATCAGTTTTAATAATATTTATAATCGTATTATATTTATTTGGAATCCCTATACTAGCGAAATCGTTAAAATTAATGTAATAACCTTTCTTAAGGAAGATCCAATTAACTACAAAAATCCAATCCGTAATAATAATAGTAACGTTATTAAACATTACATTATCTTTTCAAACCAGACAATCAATAAAATTAATAAAGTAATAGACAACAGTTATTAAATTTAAATTAAAGTAAATAATACAATTCTATAACTATATTTATAAAAAGTAATAAAATTACCCTAATAAGAAGTTAAAAAGATATAGGAAATAATAATTACACTATTACTATCGCTAGAAATTATACTAACACCCTTAACCGCTCTAATAATTATAACCGTATCGGCTACTATAACCGCTTTAATTAATTCGACTACTCTAGCAATTATAATAGCTTTTCCGAATATTCTAATTAATACAGTACTACTAGTATTACTATTACTAATATTGACCCTATTACTAACTCCGGCTCTAGGAACTTCACTAGTATATTCGTCGCTAGTATAATCGTCGCTAAATCTGCTATAACGTTAATTAATAAATTCACTAGTCAAAGAGACTATTGAATATAATAATAACCTTCTTAATTTTAAGAATCTTAATAAAGAAGACCCTATACCTTATAATTAATGCGACTAATACAATTTTAATAAATTGACTATTTATACTACTCCAAGTACCCCGCTACCCAACAATCTTCAACAACCAATTTCAATAGCTCGACTACCGCCGATAGATATACCAAACCCCGCTCGTATACAATAATATAACCCGTTACTAACATTACAAATCAATAAGCTACAACTTTAACCGAAAATAAACCTAGAGAAACAAATTTCGAATTTAAACCCTCCGAACCCGAATTTAGGCCCTCCAATCCCAAATTCGGACCCTACAACAATTCTACCAAACCCTATAAATTGATAATCTACACAAATATAACTAAAATAAGGAAGCTAACCCTCTAAATTTAATATACAATTACTAAATATAGAAGTAAGTAAAAGTAAACCTCGTTGTACTACGGCCAAACTAATAGATTTTAAATATAATATTCAACAGGTAAAAAATAGTAATAGTAATATTATTTAAAATTCGGTAGATTTACCTAATAATTTTTATAATACGGTAGAGGGATATTTAATTAAACGCACACCCATCTACTACTTTACTACTATTAAAATTGATTATAATATAGTAATTATCGCCGCTGGCAAAATTCAACGTTTTATCCTTAAGAATTATCAAATTACACATAAGCAGAGTAACTTTGAATTACACTAATTACTAGTAATAAAAAAGTAAGTTAAAGTATTCGAGGATAAAGGAATTTATACTTTAGTCCTTAGATTTCTAAATATAGAAGTTCTACCTAGAAAGTAGGTATATAATGAGAAGTATAATATTGATACTAAAAACTAGAAAATTAGAGTTAGATAGGTAGTTTATAGAAATTTCGAATAAGGCAACTAGGCGGTATAAAAAATCTATATAGTAGTAGCCTACTCGGTTAGTATTAGACTATTCTTGGTAATAATAGTTATAAATAATTATAAATATTATTAATTTAATTTTGATACTACTTTCTTAAATGCCTCTATCCCTAATAATACTTAATATTATATTAAATAACTAACAGCGCTTAAAAAGCCTATACCCGGTTATAATAAAGAAAATATAGTATACTAACTTACTAAGGCACTCTACGGTCTTAAACGTTCCCTACTTTATTAATTTAATATTTTCGTACTAATATTAAAGTAAGCTAGCTTTATACTAGTCTCTACAAACTTTTACTTATTTACTAATAAGGTACTAGGAATACTACTAGTACTATATATTAACAACCTTCTCGTTACGGCACTAACTATTATTATTATTAATTAAATTAAAGACTAGTTTACTAACTATTTCAAACTCAAAGAATTAGGACAAATATACACATTTTTAGGTTATAATATTGTAAAAGACCGCCAGACTCGTACAATCTTTATATCCCAACAGCGATATATTAAATCGGTTATTATTAAATTTAATAATAATAACAAGCTCCACGGCGTTAAAACACTATAACTACTAGACTATAAAATCTATAAGGGTAATAATATATTACTAAAGGAAGCTAAATCTTACCCTAAAAAGACTAACTCCTTAAATTAAATCTTAATAAATACCCGGCCAAACATTGTATTTACAATTAATAAACTATTAAAGGGTATTAAAAAGCTTACTAACCGCTACTTGATTATTATAAAGCATTTATAGTAATACCTATCCGAATATTCTAATTTAAATATCGAATTAAGCGGTATACTCTCGCTATTAACAGCCCTATCCTTTTATATATATACGAACGCCTCTTTTACTAATAATATTCCTTTAAGGAAAAATATAGCAGGCTATATTATATTCTTTATTTATAATCCCGTCCTTTGGAAATTAAAATAGTAGGATCTTGTTACAATTAATATAATAGAAATAGAGTTTACTAATCTAATTTCAACGGCTAAGGCTTTCGATTGGGTTAGTAGTATATTTGATAATTTGAACGTGAATCTGGGATTTTATAAGATTAATAGGATCCTTTATATAGATAGTAGTAATGTTAAAGACTGGATTCTCAACCCCAATCTACTTATTAGAAATAGATATATCGATATATAGTATAAATAGTTAATTTAAGAGGTGGATAGGAAGGCATTTATAATTAAATATTTGCTGGGTAATGAAATGCTAGTTAATAGTTTAACGAAGCTATTAAAACTAAATAAGCACGCTAGATTTATTAAATTAATAAGTATAGTTTAGAAGAAGGTTCCTTAGACTTGAAATATCCTCAATACTATAAAAGATATTATAATATAAATAGTATACTAGAGGTTTAGACTCTCTTTGGCAATCTTCTAGTCTATAGGGGTATATTGGTAGGTCCCGGGCATTTACTAGGCTAAGCTATTCACTAGACTAGGCACAGCCTAGTCCCTATTCTGTGCCCTGCCCAGACCGTACTATATCTAGCCTTCCAGACTCTACTAGTCTCCCTCTCTCTCTATAGCA